TGGAGGAGCTGCATGGCGTGGCTGGAGGTTGGTGGTGGCTTTGGGGAGGTCACAGCTGTCCCCACCTGGGGATGTGCAATGGCGTCCACTCGCTCCAAGCCGTGCCCCATTTCTGGATGGATCCACCCTCTCTGGATTGTTAGGATTCTTGGGATTTGATGGATTCTTGGGAATGGGGTATGGAGGCTGCAGGTCCATGGGTGCTGGAGGTCGGTGAAACGTGGTGCTGGTGGCACCGCTGCTGGCAGCCACGTCCCCCCAAGGTGACATTTAGGGGTCGTCACAGGGTAGGAATTCCCATCCAGCCCGTGCTGTTCCAAATCCCGGGAATTTTCGGAAGGACCCACAGGCATGGCAGTGTTCAGCCGGGTGTCACTGTCACTGGTGGAAGGTGGGAATCTGGGACACGGCTTTGGAGCTGCTGAGGGCTTGGAGCTTCCACCTGCATGAGCTTTTCCTGCTGCCAGCGCTTCCATGGAATCCGTGATCCCAGCGTGAATTCCACACTTGGCTTTGTGACCTCCCCATGAGCTGGAGGGACATGGGATGGCCACGTTGGAAAAAGCTTGGAGCATGCAGGGATGTGTCCCTGCCCATGGAATGGGATGAGCTTTAGAGGTCCTTCCAAGCCATTCTATGATTCCATGGATCAGGGCACGATCCAGAGGCTCCACCCGTGTCCCACCCCTGGCATTGCCCAGTCCCCTCTTCCCAATCCCAACACAAATCCTGGGATGGGCTGGAGAGAGACAGAGAGGGAGGATGGGAGTGGTGAGATCCAGGGCTGGCATCTCCCTTCCCACCGCTGGCATCTGCTTGATCCTGAGGAAATTCCTGGGAATGCAACGCAGGGACGCTCCAATCCTGCTCCACCCCAATCCCACAGCCTCTGGAATTATCCAAGGCCAGGCTGGACAAGGCTCAGAATGACCTGGGATAGTGGGAAGTGTCTGTGGATGAACCTGGATGGGCTTTAAGGTCCCTTCCCACCCCAGCCATTCCATGATTCCTTGATTCCATAATTCCATGGTTGCATGAAAAGCCTCTCCCTTTCTCTCTCTGTCTCTCCACGCCCAAACCTGTGGGAATCTCCCCCCTCGTTCCCATCTCCATCCCTTTTCCATGCTCCTCTTCCAACCTTTCCCAACCTCTCTCCCTCTCTTTGTGCCTCAGATGAGTTTCCTGCTCCTGTGAAGCCTCTGAAACCCTCGGATCGTACGTTCCCAGTAACATCCCAGTTTTCCGGCACCTCCCGGGACTGGTTTTACTGGTTCCGCTCTCTGGACTGGGGGAGGATCAGCTGGGATGAGTTGGGCACCTTGGGAAAAGGGAATGGCTCCGGTTCGGTCCTTTGGGGATTCCCGGGATGCTGTCGTGTCGGGAATGTGGAGCCAGCTGGATGCACGGAGCTCAGGGCAGGATTCCCTCTCAAAATTCCATAAAAATGAGTGGTTCTCCTCATGGAATCACGGGATTGGAAAATCCCTCTGATCCATTGGCTGCCAAGGCCACCCCGTATCCGTGTCCCCAAGTGCCACATCCGCAGGGATGTTCAGTCCCTCCAGGGATGGGGACAGCCCTTTTCCTGGAAGGAATTTTCCCAAAAATCCAACTTAAACCTCCCTTGGCACATCCTGAGGCTCTTTCCTCTCTCCTGTTGCTCTTACTCTTGTCCGACCCCTCTCTGACCTCGTCTTTTTCCATGGAGACTTTTCCTGGGATTGGGAATTCCCAGGATTCAGCACCATGCCCTCTGTATCTTTCTCCTGCTCCAAGGTGAGGTTCTGGGGTTCAAAAGGGGTGGAAATTCCAGGATTTTGGTGGCCTTCAGCTTTGTGATCCCTGGGATCCTACAGTGAGCGTGACACATACCCAAGGTGCCTCCAGGAATCCCTAATCCCGCTTTTCCCTGACATTCCCAGTGGATGACGGGCTGGGATTCCTTCCGACCTTTGGACCCTGCTACATCAACCTGTACGGCAGCCCCCGGGAATTCACCGGATTTCCCGATCCCTACGAGACGCTCAATCTGGGAAAGGTGACATCGGCTGCTTCCCGGCACATCCCAAAATAACCTCCGGCTCCTCTTTTCTCCCAAAAAAAAGCTGCTTCTAACCCAACCTGGCTTTGTCATCAGGAGCCCGCGCTGCGTTTCCCGCTCCCGGTTATTCCTGCTAACGCCTCCCGATCCCGCTCTGCTCCCAAAAATTCCACCTTGGAAGCACCAGCTGGAATTCTTTGCCTGATCCCGCTGCTCCGCGATGAAGCTCCTTGGAAAGAAAGGCAGAGCTTGGCCTTGGGATGGGATTTATGGGATCCTGACTCCTGTTCCTGGTCTATCCCAAGGGCGAGGGGGTCGCGTATCGGGGCCGGATCCTGGTGGAGCTGGAGACCAAACTGGTGGAGCACATGGAGCAGAAGGTGGAGGAGATTCCTGCCGATGACATCCTGAGGGTGGAGGTATTGGGATTTCTGGAAAATCTCTGGGATTGGCACGTAGGACACTATGGAAGGGATGTTGGCCACGGGTGGGGGTTGTCTCATGATCCGTGAGCTCCTGGAGGAGTCTCCTGCTGGATTTCCATTCCAAAGTGTCCAGGTTGGTCCATCTGAGCTGGTCCTGGTGAGCTTGGAATTGTGGGGTCATGGAATGGTTTGGCTGGGAATGGACCTTGAAGTTGATCCCATTCCATGGGCAGGGACACCTCCCACTGCCCCAGGTGGATCCAAGCCCAGTGTCCAGCCTGGCCTTGGGCATTCCCAGGGATCCAGGGGCAGCCCCAGCAAATCTGGGAATTCCATTCCAGCCAGGAATTCCTTGCCAAGATCCCAGCCCAAGCTCCCCTTTCCC